CACCATGGGTGACCCTGCTGGTATTTGAAATACCGGTGGCATAGCTTCCAGTATCTCAGCGACATGCAAGCCACCACAATATGACAAACTGACAGGTGAATGGTGGTACCTATCTCTAACCCCTCCAAAAATATTTGAGGAAATAGTCATAATGAAATATTGGCTTAAGATAGCAGGGGAAATTGTGAAGTCCTGGACTCTGGAATGGTGTGGGAACTTAGAAGTCATAAGATCTACCTGTTCGCCCTTCACAAAATGGATGGCATTTCCCGGGCCGTTGATGGTCCTTGCTCATTATTAGAAAGTAGACTGCAATGTTCTTCCCCATCCTTTTCTGGGCCCTCTGGAGTTTTGAGGAATGAGGCTGCTGTCATTTCTGGACAGCAGTCCTTCATCTAGTTACTTTTTTCTAAATTCTCTGAGTTGCTTTGCCCAAGACTTCTCACCACTCTACCCACCTCTTGGAGGAAACTGTCTTGTCCGTCCATGTCCTTGTTGAAACGAGGTGCCCAGAACTGGATAACAGATTGCATAGTAGGGTGTCCATTGAAGAGCATGGTGGCAACACTCATCTACCTAGCTTTGAGCACTGTTGTATAGAAGGAACGTCTAAAGTGACATCAGCCTGTTCTGGCAGCTGGGTCACACTTTTGGCTGATGCTGTGCATTCATTTGGTCAGTGTGAGCCAGCAGAAGTGCCTGCATGCCAGTATTGTTGACACTAGAGCTGGGCCAGAGGGAGGCTGGGGGATCTTCTTTATATGAAGAATCTTTGGATAGCTTCCCATCCACTTCCATTTGATGTTGACCACCTTCTAGTCTCTTCTTGAGGCTCCTTAGAGCTTTGGGCCTGGGCTTAGTCTGAAAGGGGAAAGGCAGGGGAGGGGTAATCATTTCTAGTTTTTGAAGTTAAAAGTTTGAATCTCTGCCCTTGACCAAAATTAATTCTTTCAATATTTACTGAGTGTCATGCATGCACTAAGCACTAAGCTAGATACTGATGGCACACTGGTAAGCAAGATACACGTGGAATTTATAACATCTGGTGGGGGAGAAATGCATTAATTAAATAATCACACACAAATGTATGATTATAAAATATGATATATGCTATGAGAGAAAAGTAGAAGGTTCTATGAAAATAAATAATGGGTAATCTGACCTACTCTGACCAAGTCTCCAAGTCCCTGAAGAGGTGACATTTGAGTTTCTGTCATTGAAGGAAGAGTATGAGTTAACTAGGCAAGGGAGGTGGTGGCAGTTTTGGCTAGAGAAGGTATTATAAGCAGAGGGAAGTGTGTTTGAAGGCCCCAGGCAGGAATAAGTTGATGAGCTTGATTCCATCACAGCTGGACACAGTGACATACAGCAAGCTGTCAGTTGAGAGATAGGTTGGTCAGTAGGACATTTATTTCAATTTATGGATCAGATGGCAGAGAGGAGGAAGCTGGCCTTAGCAACACAGTGACACCAGTATCTGCATGATGATGTCCACATCAGAAGCTGGTTATTGACTTTGTATTAATTTTGAATTTAGATTGAACTGGCACTATTCTCCTCCCTTACTATATTGTCGACCCCAAGGCCATGTTTTTATCTGCCTATCCTATTATGGGGGAAATACCTGGGAAGTTCGAGCTGAGGCCAAGAAGCTACTTGGATGTGTGGTTTCCTGTGGCTGCTTGATTCACGATGGCCTAGCATGAGGCCCAGTTGTCTCCAGGAATAGACAGAACAAAAAGTGACAAGCATGTGAATGCCTGGGGTGCCAGGTCAGTCACTTCCTGTTTGTTGCACATCTTCTTAGGCTCAGCGCCAAGGTGACATCTAGGGGAGAGTTCACAAATCTGAGTTCAGCACTCCTGGATGGAGAACTCCTTGTCAGTGGTGCCATCTGCAGGGCATTAAGGAATTTGCCAGGAGTCTGATATGTTCAGACGGGAAAAAATGGCATCTCCAGGTAAGATGCTCCTCCTTCCTCCTTTTTCCTTTCTCCCTTGCTCAAATCCCTTAGTGTGAGCATGCCCCTAGATTACAACCCTGGCCCTCCATAGGGCCCAAAGACCCCTGTTCCCTCTGGTCTTATGGCAGACAGTATCTATGGCAGCTGGTCCTACAAGGCAGAGCGTGGGTTGTGGCATCATTTCTCATCTTCCCTGCCAATTAATCCTTTCATCTGTAACACGAGGCAATGTACTTCTCCCATTTTAACATGACCTCAAGTAGGTTAAGAATGCTGGGTTATGAAGGCATTTAGGCATTCTATTTGTTTTTTAAAGGTGACTAGGTGTAAATTGAGGGTGTTGATGTAAAGGTTAATTGTCATTGTTATTTTTACCTCCATTTTCATTCTAAATAAACTCTCTACGGGCTTTTTCTCATTTTCTATTTCTTTTCTGAAGAAATGGCTCATATTTCCTTGGAAGTGGCTCTGGGGTCCAGCTTAGCCAAGTTGTTGAGTCCCTGGGTGCCTTGCCAAGCTTGCACATTCAACTCTAAGCTCACAGATCCTTCCAGCCTTGATCACCCTCCTTGCCACACATCTCTGAAAAAGGCAGAATGGAAGTCTGTGGCACAAAAAATAGACTCAGAAGATTAAAGGGGCCTTACTAGTGACAGAACCAGAGACCAGGTGTCTCTCTCTGTTCCCTGGACCTCTCCACCCTGAGACCCACCTTCTCAGGAGGTGCTGAAAGAGAGGTGGGCCTGGAAAGAGAGTACATTTTATAAAGCCCTAGGGTTTAATGTTTATATAGAAGAAAACAATAAAGAATCTGGTTTAAGAGGCAAATAATTACTATTTATTTTTAGGTCCCTTGGAGCATTCTGTGGGCCATAAGAATTACCAGGCACTATGCTTGCTGGAATCAACTCGATGGCAATGGGTTGGTTGGTTGTGCTCGCTGATGGGGCAGAGATATAGATAAGACCCTGATGTCCCCCTAAAAGAGTGCTCCCTGGCATTTCCTGACTGCCTTATCATCTCATCATAGCTAACTTCTACCCGCCCCCTCCAAACCCCATACTTAGTATCTTGTGTCATCAAAGGCTTTGACTTGTAACTGTTGTCATCTTGACGTATAAGCCAGTTGAGAACAGAGGGGACAGATGGAAATCCTGAATATGAGCAGCAAGTTGGAACAGTAACCAAATAATTTGGGTACAAAGGGGACAGTTCAGGAGAGGTGCAGATGGGAGGTGTCCTAAAAGAAGGGTAGCTTAAAAGGCAACAAAAAATATTGAAATTCAGATTTGAACTGTAGAAAATGGAAAACCTTCTCCCTCAACAGGTTTCGATTTTAAATGAAATATTTCAAGCATACAGAAAAATGAATAACTGTGTCATTCTATTAAATAGAAACATTAAACCTTAGTGTTTTGTATATAACTCCCAATGATTCTCACCTCCTGCCATTGTATAATTTTCTTCTACATTGAATAGGATGATGTAACGGCTAGGATAGTGTGACTTTTGAAGTTAGGTCATAAAAGACATCAGGCTTCCACCTTGTTTTCTTAGATCACTCACTCTGGGGGAAACCAGCTGCCACGTCATGAGGACACTCTAATTAGCCCTATGGGGAGGTCTACATGATGAAGAACTAAGGCCATGTGCCAACAAACAGCACGAACATGCCAAGCATGTGAGCCATCTTGGAAGCATGTTCTCCAGCCCCAAACTTTGAGATGACTGCAACCTTTTGAGATTCCCCAAGACAGAAACATCCAGCTAAGCAGCTCCAATTCTGATCCACAGAAACTGGGTGGTAATACATGTTAAGTCACAGTTTTGGGGGTAATTTGTTATACAGCAATAGGTAACTTAGTAATAGCAAGCATCATGCAACTAATCAAGTTTGTCATCTTAACATTTTGCCTTGTTTACTTCAGGTCTTTTCTTAAAACACATACATACCCCCAAATATAAGTTGAAACCCTGGCTTCTTCTCAAACTTATCCCTACCTTGTGTCTATGTAGAACTCTGAAAAAGCACTGCGGCATTCTCTGCACTGAATATGCCCTTTCCTGGGGTTAGGCCACCCAAGGAACCTTCCTGGAAAACAAGCCCTTCCCTACACTGGTTTGCAGATGCTGCTTCCCAGACTCTGGCCTAGTTGCCTTTCCTGCTTGCTTGACAGAAAAGAACAGAAAGCATGTTTCAGAGGATCTTCAGACATCTTTCAGGATGGTTTTCCTTAGTGAACTCAGCACTAACCGAAAACTTTTAATACACTTGGCCACTGATTCCATTTAGGTCCCTCAGCGCAGCCCTGGAATCTGCCTTCCCCTCGGGCCTGTTTGGCTGTTGTGTGGCTGTGCTAGCCCTGCACTGCCGAACTACATATGCTTGAAAAAATGTAAACCATGCCATGGCCGTGCTATAAATTGTTAACTCCTACCCTAAGCTTTAAAAACGTCCCCACTTCATCCCCATGTAATGCAGTCTTCTCCCACCTTGGCACAGCTAATTAGTGTGGTTTCCTCCTGTAGTAGGACTTTTGCAGATTACCATAAATTCTGGTCCTGCAATTTTTTTCTTCTTCCTATTATAGGGCTGGAAAGATAGCTTTCACCTTATCAGCCTCAAATATTCCTCTGGCCTGCTACTGCCCTGTTCAATTGTTTTGAGAATTTTTTAATCAACTACATTTTGACAAGTTGGTAGGCCCCCTTACACAGCAAATCATATTTGCAGTATATTCACAACTACCTATTTAAACCAAATGCATTAACAATTACCCAGTCAAGAGCTACAGGAGATCTGCATTAGCAGGAGGACTTGTAGTAAATCATTTTTCCAAGGCTGTGAAAAGGTTGTGATGATATAAACAGACCTATGTTAAATCCCTATATCCCAGAGGTACCTAGTAAGGAAGTGAGGTCCTTGATATTGTCACCTGGTTTGAGAGACTCTACCCTCCAGGTGTAGATGAGTGGTAGGACACCCCAAACTGGAGAAATTGAGGCACTTTTATAAAAAGCACAGGAGTCAAAAACCTTTCTTCTTAATACTTTTACTTTGCGACATGATGGAAAAATCTTACAGGTGCACATGGAAAAATTTAAGACACGATCATAGTTAATAGTGAAGACACTCTAACAAGAAGGCTTTGTCAGCCAACACAGAAGCTGAAGTTCTGAGTATGACATGCTGCAGGGCTGAAAGGAATAATTAGTACTCTTCTCCTTCTTCCTCACCCTCTCCTTCAACAGAATCCACACCAACCTCCTCATAGTCCTTCTCAAGGGCAGCCATGTCCTCACGGGCCTCAGAAAACTCTCCTTCCTCCATTCCCTCACCCACGTACCAGTGAACAAAGGCACGCTTGGCATACATCAGGTCAAACTTGTGGTCCAGGCGAGCCCAGGCCTCAGCAACAGCTGTGGTGTTGCTCAGCATGCACACAGCCCGCTGTACCTTGGCCAGGTCTCCACCAGGCACCACAGTGGGAGGCTGGTAATTAATGCCAACCTTGAAGCCAGTGGGGCACCAATCCACAAACTGGATGCTACGCTTGGTCTTGATGGTGGCAATGGCAGCATTGACATCTTTGGGAACCACATCACCACGGTACAACAGGCAGCAAGCCATGTATTTACCATGGCGGGGGTCACATTTCACCATCTGGTTGGCTGGCTCAAAGCAAGCATTAGTAATCTCTGCTACAGAAAGCTGTTCATGGTAGGCTTTCTCAGCAGAGATGACGGGGGCGTATGTGGCCAGAGGGAAGTGGATGCGGGGGTAGGGCACCAGGTTGGTCTGGAATTCTGTCAGATCGACATTCAGGGCACCATCAAATCTGAGGGAAGCAGTGATAGAGGACACAATCTGACCAATAAACCGATTAAGGTTAGTATAGGTTGGGCGCTCAATATCAAGGTTTCTACGACAGATGTCATAGATGGCCTCATTGTCTACCATGAACGCACAATCTGAGTGCTCCAGGGTGGTGTGGGTGGTGAGGATAGAGTTGTAGGGCTCAACTACAGCTGTGGAAACCTGGGGGGCTGGGTAAATAGAGAACTCCAGCTTGGACTTCTTGCCATAATCAACTGAGAGGCGTTCCATCAGCAAAGAGGTAAACCC